TACATTTTAAAATTATTTATAATGAAATAAATAATGAGATAAATATTTAACAAAAGTCAATTTCTTTTACAATATTTATAACTTATAATTAGAAAATGATTTTTTAACAAAAAATGTGTTTTGTAAAGTCATTTTACATTATTTATTATAAAACTTAAACTTTCCTATATGAGTTTTTTATATTCAAGATAAAAACAAATTTACATTAAAAAATTTGTTATCAAAATTAATTGATCAATTGTAAATAATTTTTTTAAATTATAAAATTGATTTTTTATTTGTAATATTTTACTAACAGTAAATTAACATTATTTCTAAATGTTAAAATTTAGTTTTGTTATATATAATTTATAAATTATACTTCGGCTCGTATACAATTAAAATATGTGATATAATAAAAGGCCAACTTAACGAGCTTATATGCTATTAATTGAAAAATTTATTTATTAATTTACGTCATACTATACAAAAGTTGAGATAAACGTTTCGACTGTACGACAGTCTTTTTCAATATCCTAATAATATGTTAAAAAATTAATTTAGTCATATCGACCTTATTATAAATACAACAATTATGAGATTATATGACGAACGCAGTACAAAATTCATGTTTGTTGGCATGAGTTAGAGCGTCAGATGCTGTTATATTATGTAACGACATTTTTTGTCACGAACATAACACTTTTTTTAAAAAAATTATTTCTTTTTACTTAACATAATCACAATGTGTACTTTTTTAAAAAACAAGATATCGATTTGTTTTAGCAAATATATAAATGTTTAGTTGTAATTAATATAAGTTGTAAATAATTAATATAAGTTGTAATTAATATATGTAACAAATATTTAGCGAAAATTTTTTTGAAATATCATAATTAAGTGACTATAAGACGAAATATACAATATATGTATACAATATTTTAATTGTAAGATAGATTTAAGCACATATTTAATTATAAGTTATATAATTGTAATTAGTATAAATAAATTATTCATATAACTTCATATATATTTACCGTTTAGTTTAATAAATCACAAAGAATCAAATTTATATAATAATTATAATAATATTTCAATTTTATGCACAATTAATAATACTAAATGAATTATACGATGTCTGTTACTTTTAACGATGATGTTACCATCATTACGTAGCGATGTACATGTTAAAATATATGCGTAATGACATTACCATGATACAATGTTACATAGCAACCATCGTTATTAGGACTAAAGGATATCGCACACAAATTACATAAGCTGCATATGCATAGCATAAAACCTTATGGACCAATGAGCATCAAGCATTGAATCACATGCTCGATGTTCATTGGTCCATAAGGTCTTATGCTATGCATATGCAGTTTATGCAATTTGTGTGCGATAGCATTAAAGGCCGCCGCACACACTTTTGCATGACATATAATGTAAGTGTATAAAGAATTTGATTGGTTGAATTTTATTATGCATGTGCTGATGGACCAATAAAATGTCTAGATTCGAAAATTTTTCTATGCTACAGCCAATTAATACGTTTGAAAAATTTATTCTACGACAAATGTAATATCAACTGAACATGTCAACTTATTGCACAATAAATTTTTAGTTTTAAAGATTGGTAGCAATTGATTTGAAAATAAATAGTAGGTACACTACATACTCTAATTGTGTGTGACAACTTAAAAGGTTATAGATATCGTTACACCTTAAAAGAATTCTTAAAAATTCTTGAAAATTTCTCGTCGAGCAGCAAAGAAATTATTTGTTTCAATAATATATGAAGTGACAGATATAATAACAATAAGGTAAATTATTTTGAAATATAATATATCATAAGATCATTAAAGAAAATACAAAATCGCATTTAAAAATATAAATACTGTTATATTCTAATAATTGATTATGTAAATATATAACTTTAAAATACATATGCTGAGTATTGGAAAATTTAAATATATTTAAAGTATATATATATATATATTATATGTAAATATATGAGGTATTCCATTTCAAATCGTGCGTGCATGCGTGCGTGCGTGTGTACGTGTATAGTTTATATATATAAAACCAGTATTGAACAATGTATATAAATTTTATATAAATTTAATATTGTATGTAGTTTTTAAAAAATTTATGTAAAATTTATATTAATTAGTTTGTATAAAATTTATACAAGATATAGTATAAAAAGGATGGGATCAATAAAATTATATATATATAGTTGTCTTAAAGAAAAAACTATATTTTATTTACATTAATTGATTTGTCTCATGTGCATAAAATATTAAGTATACGATGTATATAATATTATGTATATATAAAATGTTAAAATTACACAAAATTAAACATTTCACGAGATATTTTGTAATTTATGTCAAAATACTGTTTAAAATATTATAACTAAAAAAAGTATTTAATAAAAAAATATTTTTTTGTAATATTTTGAAAAGCTCTCGAGATAAGGTATAGAAAAATATCAAATAAAAATGTGGGTTTTCATTTAAAATTTTAAAGTTGACTTTGAGATTTTCTTTATAACTACACTTAAGATCAAATGTGTATTACCATTTCATATATTTTTTATATAATATATTTGTTACTATATTCTTGAAAAGAAATGATATCACTGCCAAAATATTTGCTGAAAATACAAAATAATATCAATTGATAATATATAATATATACCTATTAAATACATTGTCATATACATATAGATAATATAAAAATTTATTTGTTTTAAAGATAAAATAATAATTTTAAATAGTTTTATGTGTTAATATAATTTTAATTTTTTTTTACAGTGGATTGATATTTGATTTTTATCGTTGAATATATATGATCCAACTGAATATATATGAGCAAAATATAGCATATTCAGGTATTATTTTATTTTTTATTTGAATTAATAATAAATATTTCACATAATAAGACAAATATATATAAATAATAAATAAGCTAATATATATAAATAATAAATAAGCTAATATATGTAAATAATAAATAAGCTAATAAAAATATTTTGTTTCAGGTTTGGTAGCCACTTATATTTTTTGGCTAAAACAAAGCTCCAATCCAGCTTTTGTAATTTGACAATTGGACATAATTGTGAAAATTTAGATAAAAATTTGACATAAATATTTGACATTATAGTTGTAACACTACAAGTATTATTTGATATTTTAATTGTTGATATTTGAAATTTGTAAGAAATTAATGAATGTTTGATTTACATTTAAATATTTTATTATCAAGAACACTATACATATACTTGTTACATAACAATTATATTCGCTATATAAAATTAAATTAAATTTTTATTTGAATGTTAAATTAATATTATCGTGTTATAGTTATTTATTATTAAATTGATATTTAATGTAAGTGCAATATTGAAATTTATAATTTAACAACTGTGTAAAATAAAAACAGTTATTTTATGTAATATTTTATTTAATTTTAAATCATCAGTGTGCTATTTTCATTTAAATAAAATTTAATAAAATTATATAATAGTCTGTTATTTAATTTATTAACTACAAATTTATTAACTAAAAATTAATTTAAAATTTATATAAACAAATATTTTGTTTGTATATACATTTATATTCGTTACATTTTATAATATTTAAATTTTATTGATCTGTGTAAACATTTAACAAAAAAGATTTAATTAAAATAATTTAAAAATGGGTAAACGTAAAGCTATTCGTACTCGAGAGGAAGAAGAAGAATTTCAGCGATTAAAGAGAGAACGAAAGGCTTTAAATCAACAAAAATACCGCGAGAGAAAAAAAGAAAATGCAACAAACAATATAGCTGAGTCATCTAAAGTTTGTGAATCAAGAAATTTATTAAATAATAGTTCATCAGTTGCAGTGTCTAAATCGCAAAATCCTTTGGTCACAAACAATATTTATCTTGCTTCATCAGTAATAAAATGTGTTATTACAACGTCGACTTTGAGCAATTCTGTTACTACAATTAACAACTGCATATCAAAGTTATCGAGCAATAGTTCTTTGATAACTTCAAATTCAAAACTTGATAACGATAATGTTAATATAATTAAAAAAACTGTCAACCATGAACAAAGTACACTTACAAGTGTTGAAAATACTACAGATTCAAGTCAATTAATTTCAGTAAATATAAATGATAATTTTTCCGAAATTGATAATATACAATTACAAAATATCACAGATAAAAGAAAAATGCAAAATTGTCGAGCCAATTATAAAGGATTTCAAAACATAAATTATCATAATATAAATCAACATTACATAGGAAAAATGGAAGTAGAGTGCAAATATTGTAAAGCAAAACATTTTCACGCTGAAAAAGTTTATAATAAATGTAATTCATTCAATGATTGTTGTAGTCATGGAAAAGTTATATTGGAATCTCTATCACCATTTCCTGATGAACTACAACAGTTATTTTTTGGAAATCATAAAAAATCTAAAGAGTTCTTTAAAAATCTGCGAAGTTATAATAGTGCATTTTCTTTTGTCTCTTTTAATGCTAACTTGGTTAATTTTAATGCACAAAGACGAAGTCCTTATTGCTTCAAAATTCAAGGTCAAATTTATTATCAAATTAATACTGCATTATATCCTGCTGCACAAGAACAATCAAGTTATTGACAGCTTTTCATTCTTGACGCTAACGAAGCTACAGAATGTCGTTTAAATGTAAATACAAATCTTGATGAAGAGTTATTACATACATTAGATGGTATTATTCGCAGCAATAATATGTTTGCTCAGTCATATCAAATGATGCATGAAGAAGTTTGTAATCAAGAAAATTCAGGTTTAAATGTGCCTAATTTAAAAATGGCATTCTTAAATAAGAAAACAGGTATTGATCGCGGAAGATATAATATTCAAAGAACTAACGAAGTTGCTGCAATTTTTTCAACTACTGCAGATGGAGATATTCCTGATTGTTATGTTACAATTAGAAACAAACGTGATAAAACTTTAAAATACGTTAGTACAATGGATCCAAACGTTGAACCTTGGATTTATCCAATGTATTATCCACATGGTACGCCAGGTTGGCACGATAATATTAAACAAATTAATGGAAAACGTGTAACTAGATCTATGTACATTCAATATCGAATAGCTATTCGTGACAATACTAATATTTTTTTAATGGGTAAACGATTATTTCAACAATGGCTTGTTGACAATTATGTAAAAATAGAAAAAGACAGAATTAACTGGTGTAAAGAAAATCAAAAACAGTTGAGAGTGGAAAAGCATCAGGGACTAATCGATTATTTAGAAAAAAAAGCGACTGATGCTAATGCTCGTGTTGGACGAATAATGATACTTCCATCAACATTTATTGGTTCACCTCGAAATATGATGCAAAATTATCAAGATGCGATGGCTATTGTTCGTAAATATGGTAAACCAGATGTTTTTATTACAATGACTTGTAATCCAAATTGGCTCGAAATTAAAGAAAATTTACTTTCAAATCAACAACCTGCTGATAGACCTGATATTTGTGCTAGAGTATTTGATATAAAAAAAAATTATTTGATAGATTTGATTGTTCGACAAAAATTTTTTGGTGAAGTAAAAGCATTCGTTTATGTAATCGAATTTCAGAAACGTGGTTTGCCGCATGTGCATATATTAGTAACTTTAAAACAACAATGCAAAATTATTAATTCGGAAACCGTTGATAAGTATATTTCTGCTGAAATTCCGGATCCTGCTATTGATCAAAATTTGCATGAAATTGTCATGAAAAATATGATTCATGGACCATGTGGTAATTGGTGTATGGTAAATGGAAAATGTTCAAAGCATTTTCCAAAATCTTTTCACGAGGAAACAACTATGGATGAAAATGGTTATCCACAATACCGTCGAAGAGACACTAGCATTTTGTATGAGAAACCTGGAGGATTTGTAGTAGATAATCGATTTGTTGTTCCTTACTGTCCAATATTATCAACAATTTTTAATTGTCATATTAATGTTGAAGTTGTTTCAAGTATCAAGTCAGTAAAGTATTTATATAAATATATTTACAAAGGTCACGATGCAGCATCTGTAGTTATAGAAGAAGATGTGAATAATATGGAAATTGTTCATGACGAAATCAAAGATTTTATTGAAGCACGTTATGTAGGACCAGTTGAAGCTTATTGGCGTATTGTAAATAAAATATTGCAAGAAAAAAGTCATGCCATCATTCGTTTACCTGTACATTTGCCAAGTGAACAAAATGTAATTATCTCTGATCATTTAAATGAACAAGATTTACAATCTGCTTTAGAACGTATAACAATGTTAATGGATTATTTTGAATTAAATAAACGAGATGTTGATGCACACCAATATGTATATACAGATATACCTTTATATTACGTGTTCAAGAAAGTAATTCTTGATGGAAAACAAATTAGTCGTTGGGAAAAACGTCAGAGTAAATTTAATTGTATTGGACGAATGTACTCAGTTAGTCCAACTGAAATTGAATTATTCCATTTACGTATTCTTTTATTGAATATTAAAGGAGCAACAAGTTATAATGCTTTAAAAACAGTTAATGGTGTATTACATCAAACATTTACTTCTGCATGTTTGGCTTTGGGTTTAATTGAAGATGATGATGAATGGAAACGTGCAATTAGCAAAGCTTCTATATGGATGATGCCAAGACAACTTAGGTATCTTTTTGTTCGAATACTAATGCATTGCCAACCATTGCATCCAAAAGAATTATGGAATGAATTTCAAGTTGCAATGTCCGAAGATTACATACGACGATTTGGACGAGTCATTGGAATAAAAAAAGCTTATGCTCAAATCAATCAATTACTTCGCAAAGAAAGTTGGAAACTTAAGCAATTTCCAGAAATGGAACAAATAAAGATAAAATATGAAGAAGAAGATGCAGAACAATTGCAAAGAGAAGCTTTATGTGGTCAGCAACAGTATAGCCAGTTAAATTATGGTCAAAAAAATGTTGTTGATTATGTTTTAACTCTTTTAACAAAAACTAACAGTCAACAAAAAAAATGCTTATACATTGACGGTCCAGGAGGTTCAGGTAAAACTTTTGTTTACACAACATTATACTATTTACTCAAATCTCAAGGCAAAGTTGTTAATACAATGGCTTTCACTGGTATCGCTGCAACATTACTACCAAATGGAAGAACAGCACATAAAACTTTAGGTTTGCCCGTACCTCTTTTTAATGATTCAACATCGAATATAAAAGTTCAATCCAAAGAAGCTGATTATTTAAAAAAAACAGATGTTTTTATTTGGGATGAAGCACCAATGGCACCGCGATATGCTCTTGAAGTAATGAATTGTCTCTTACAAGATTTAATGCATAATGATATACCATTTGGAGGAAAAATTGTTATTTTTGGTGGAGATTTCAGACAATTATTGCCAGTAAAACAAAATGCCACACGTTCTGAAACTGTAAATTTATCAATTAAATTCAGTTCATTATGGCAATATTTCAAAATTTTTTCATTAACAGAAAATATGCGTATTTTACCACATGAACAGGAATTTGCTCAATTTTTATTAGATTTGGGTAATGGTTCTCTAAATGATCAGTCTAATAATATTGAAATTCCATTAAGATGTGTAGCAAATTTAAATGCAAATATAACGAAAGATACATACGAAGAAATAATCAAACACAATCAGTATAGACTTGCAGCAAAACGTGTTATACTTTCTGCAAGAAATGTTGATGTGGATGAATTAAACAAACAAGTTGTAAATTTACTTGATGAATCAACAGAAAGAGTATACACAAGTATAGATACTACTGAAACTACTAATGATAATAATGATATTAATGAAGCTATTTTAACAGAATATTTAAATACTTTAAATCCAACAAATCTTCCACCTTATGAACTCCGATTAAGAAAATATACAATTATCATGTTGATTAGAAATCTGAATATCAGCGAAGGTTTGTGTAATGGAACAAGATTATTAATTTTAGAATTAGGAAATAATTTGTTAAAATGTGAAATTCTGACTGGTGATAAAAGAGGAGAAATTATCTTTTTAAATCGTATAACTTTATACTGTGAAGATGTTTACCCATTTGTATTTAAAAGAAGACAATTTCCAATTAAATTAGCTTTTGCTATGACCATAAATAAATCACAAGGACAAACATTTGATAAAATTGCAATCGATTTAAGAAAAGATGTTTTTAGTCATGGACAACTTTATGTTGCATTTTCACGAGTTAGATCTTGGGAATCATTAGAAATTTATTTAGGACAAGAAAAACAAAGTAGATTGGTTAAAAATTATGTATATACAGAAATATTTCAATAAGAATGCTGGTATTTTACAGTGTAAATTATAATTACTTTAAATAAATTATAATAGTAAATTTTATATTATATATACATATTTACAATTTTTTAATTTTATATTATATGTTATATATTTACAATTACAAACATTGTAATGATATATTTATCATTACAAACAGATATAAATTTTAATATATTATAATATAATATGTTTTATATATTTTTATTTCTTCGAAAGTGCATTCTGTGATGAAAAATGCTTTTTGAAAATGGATTATTCCATATTTCTTCAAGCATAACTCTGAGGATGCATTTTTACAATAGTAATTGTCGAATTACTTTTACAAAAGTAATTGTCAAATAAAATAATAGAAAATAATTTATTTTGTACATATATGACAAGAAAAATTATTGAAACAATAAGTTAGAATTCAATATTTAATATAAAAATATCTAAAAGAAAATAACAAAAGTATTTTAAAATTAAACATAAATTAATTTAAAATTATATTAAATATTATTTAATTAAATATTTATAACACATGATATTGTAGTATTTGTAAAATTAATAGAAAAAAAAGAATATAATGATACAAACTTTATATGTGCATGTTATATACAATTAAAATCAGAATGTTTATTAAAATTAATAATTTAAATATTTTATGAATAATATTAATTTATAATTAATAAGAAGAAATTTATATGTCATAAATATAAATAATATAATGGTAATAAACATACGATACATATTGAATAGGTATTATGAATCAGAATGTTTAAATAAAGAATTTATATATAATAGTGTATAAATTATAATATTGATATATATATTCATGATATATAAATATACATTAAAATATACATAAGTTTTTAGATTTACAATTGTAATATATAAAAATTATATTTAAGATGATAATTTAACAAATAGAGGAATAAAATTTAATTAACGTTTTAAAGTAAAGCAGATACAGTGAGTATCAACAGATGTAAAACATAATATTAATAAAAATATTTATTTGCTCATGTATATATATAATAATACATAGATCAAAATATAAAATTTCAGTTTTGCAATAATATACAAATTATATGCTGTAAAAAAAAATAAAATATGTAAAAAAATGGAGGATCATAGAAACACATAATAGAGAAGATGAGAAAGGCAACGATAGCAATAAAGATGACATAGAGCGTAGGAGAAAGGTTATTTAAACAGGATTTTAAACAGGAGAAGATGAATGAAGATGTTTGAAACCTTAATAGCAAGCATAGCATATTATGTGGAGCAGAGATCTGGATATGGAAGATGGAAGAAAAACTAGACAAAATAAAGAGGAAATATGTGAAATGGAGATTAGACAGAAGATTGGACAGAAGAACGCCAAATTACATAATAATGGAAGAGACGAAAATGAAAGAAATAAAAATGAGAGCATTGAAAATGGAGATCAAGTATGAGGAGAAAGCAAGAAAATTGAAAAAGAAAATATACAATAGAATGTATAAAAAAATGGAGAAAGAGTAAAAGAGGAGAAGAAAGTAAATGAGAAAGAAAAAGAAGAGAAATATTGGAAGAGGTAGGAATTATATATTAAAATAGATAAGTTTTAGTTTTGCAATAATATACTAATTATATGCTGTAAAATATCGAAATAAGATAATCGCATTGGCGCGCGCGACGATCTAGTCTACTATAAAAAAAGTCATGTGTACCCGTGAAGTGCGTGTTTGGAGTCGAAAGTCTTGTTGCCGTTTTTCCGCGTATACGTGATTGGTGGTCGATTCGAGGTACGGGGCGAACTTGATCGCGGTTATTATAATAATGACAGTTCGTATCGTGATAATAAAGGTTAAATGTGTAGTGATCTCGGTATGTGTTATATAATATTTCTTAAGAGCTTGTGTCGTGTCACGCAAGATTTAGTAGAAAATAATATATTTATAAAAAAGAAGGCATAAATAAGATGAAGCAGTGATCGACGAATGAAAAAAAGTAAGTATATATATAAATATATATACAGATCTTTTTATTATATTTAATACAAATAAATCTTAATTTTTTTTTTTTTATTTTTTTTATCACAATTTATAGGATTCTAATTAAATAATTAAGCAAATTTATCTATTTATAAAATAATTAAGAGAAAAAGATATAATATCATTTTACTTCAGTACTCTGTAGCCGAAATTTATGATACATTAAACTAATTATTATGTCGAAATAGGCTATCTTTTTGCTTACTCCTGAGTAAATTAAACATAAAAAACAGAGATCGATAATATTAAAAAGAAAAAGAAGCCTTCGATTTGAAAAATTATTTTTATTTTACATCTGCATAGAAAGTATGAATGATGATTAATAAACGACTAATCCTGTAGTTTGAATTCTGATTTAAATATAATTATTGTACTCGATATCTCGGCCGTATTAAAATTAAATATGAATAATATCTACATTCTTGCAATATATAATAATACAACATATGATATACACAATAATTAAGTACAAAAATATCCTATAAATTGTCGTAATGCAATTTGCTTACGAAAACATTTTACATAAAATTTAATTTTATTTCATAAAATACATTATAATACATAACATCATTTTTGAAAAACCATTACTTATGTAACGAATGGTGACATTTATTTTTAACATCATTGAAATAATTATATTTTACTTAATGTCAAAGTTCGATAAAAAATTGATACTTGATATTATATATAGTTTCTAGAAGAGTATATAAAATAATACTTTCAAAATATTATAACGTTTAAATAACACGAAAGTGAAACTAATTATAACCAAACATTGTGAACGCGTTAAAAAAAATTTTTTTAAATATTAGAATTATTTTCACATATTATTTAATAAAATGGAAAAGAATCATTATTTTCGAATCATTTTGCGTGGTGGTAATCCTAAATCTTCATTGGATGTTTTTTTTACAATTGGTCTTGTACCCAACAATAATTGTTGAAATGATAACTTTTCCTCTCCTATTTGCTTTATGTCTGTTGAATGATCAATCTCCAAATAAAATATGTCATCTAAATGATAAAATTATAATATTAATGACAGTTATATAGTAATTATATTTTTGGAAATTTTAAAACTTTTTCACATAGCTTACTCATAATTTTTACATATCCTTTCATTTCAATCATTTGCCCCTTGTCAAAGTAGACATCATTATCATAATTTACTATTTGTATCTCCAATTTATACGTCTTATCTGTAATGGATCCGCAGCCAATTGTTTTAAAACTATTTAGAAATTTATTAAAATTCGTTTTAATGTATCCACGTATAACTGAAAAAAATTTTATTAATTTTTAGTTTATCACAAGATTCATCTTTAGTTCATCAGTATCATTTTTAGTTTATCACTGTATTATAACGAATTAACTTATAGAAAATATTTAAATCTCATAATTATAAAAATCAAATAGTATAAAAATAAGAAATTATGTAAAAAATATGTATATAAAAGATTTATAAAAGCATATAGTTACATATTTATACGTACGTTTGCATACAAATGTTTATCGATATATAAGAAATACCGGATTTTAGTATAAAGTATATTATATACATATAAACACTTACTAATGCATGCATTAAGATATTGAGGTACATCACACAATTCCACTAATTGTGGTTGCATCGCTTGAATGTTTTTTTTTAGGTCAAAATTACCCAACGTATTTATTGTCGTGTTGGATCGAATAATTAGTTCGTATTGAAGTGTCCCTTGGTTGAATTCAGGTATTTTTACCTTTTTAGCCTTAGCACCATCAATATGCACAATCTGCAAAATTAACAAATATTATTAAATTAAATATGTATATTAAATTAATATTATTCTAATACTACTGTTTTATATGTACTTTATTGGAATAAACTTTTTTTTTAAATATTACAACAAAATGATAATAAAAATAATAATTTTAATGTTATAAAAAATAAATTATACAAAAATGTATCGCTTACTCGATTTGGTTGTATATAAAAATTTATACGATCAATTTCTTCGTTCCAGGCAACAACTTGAATGCGATGTTTACTGTTGTTGTTCACCAAAAATTTTAACAATCTATAATGTTGGGATTTACCAACTATCTTCGGACCGTCAATTTCATCGATAAATCCAACAATTTCTCTAAATAAATTTTTTATTAAAATTAGTAATATAATAATATTTTAATTTGTTTTAATTATCAAGCTAAAATATTAAATATTATGTTCTTTTATTTGTTAATTACAACAAAAGATAATTATTTTTTATTTAAGAAAGAATTAAATATATATACATAATGTGATCACAACAATTGTTAATAAATAGTCGAAAAGAAACTTTGAAGGTTATTGTGACATAAAAATTTTGATATTAAATATGTATATGTGTATCAAAACTATATTAATTTACAAATGAGATATTTTAATTAAATTATTCTAATAACATGCTTTAAAAAACAATACATTATTAACGAAAGCGTACTAAATATCATTTATTGATAATATTTTTCCAATGGTAGATTTGATAATTACATGTTATATAATTTCTGATAATGTAAATTTTAAAAACAATTCATTATATTGTAGTATATTTCGTTATTAAATTTTTCGTTTAAATTAATCTTAAAAATATTTTATTAACTGATATGATAATACATTTAAGACATAGAGGTAAAAATTTGCATAATAATTATACAATTAAATAAAAAATTATATTATATTAAGTATAAATTAAAAATATAAAGACTCACACAGTAGAATCTTCGAATTGTATCGATTCCAACATTTCATCCGATGCCAAATATATCGTCTCCAAAACATCATTTTGATTGAGAAAAGTAATTTCCTGTCTATTGACTTCCACATCATTACTTCGATTTGGAGTAAAAGTTTTCTTTTTGTTGCAGGTTTCCGAATGACTTTCTTCGTTTAATGTCTCCTGCTGTATGTTAAGTATTCTGTAAATGAGTAGCGTATATCAATATAATATCGTGATTAATAAAATATATTTTATAAAATTT